CGGACATACCTTCTTTTTTATAATATTTTAAATTATTAACTTGACGTAAGTTACTGACCTGAATCGATTACCCAAGACAGAGAATCGACCTTAATTATCGATGTTACTACCGACATCTAGTGGAACGGATTATGTCAAAAGTTCAAATGTTGGATTGCAGGTGTCGCAATGCGATTAGTTCGATTGTTTTTAATTTTGTGAATCGTATTATCAACTCGATTTTGATTTCGAATTTGTAAATTACTTTCCAGACTGCTATGTAATTATGGAGATCCTCATTACGCAATATTCTCCTCTCAAACACACTTCATGTGAGAGAGACCAATTTCAAAACAGATAAAAAAAATTACAGCAATTTTGAAACCGCAAAGTAATAGTCTAACGGGTTCACTGGACGATAAAGACGGAACTAAATACGTGTGTTTACCTTCCGCATCACGTCTGTCTGCCGTGTTTAAATCGGTTCTTCCAAATAATAAACTCAGCAAAAGATTGAATGGAATTAAGAACTTGGGGTAAATACGACAGAACCCAAAAATACGACGCAATCGATACTGAGCACTTAACCCTTTAAACATCGTATCAACGTTCACAAACTCCACATTTTATACATTATTATGGGTTTCGAACGATTCTCACATTAAATAGCGATTATTACCTTGAATACCTTTAACCAGCTGGTCGTTGTCATGGAAACGCGCTGTTCACTTAGCGATAAGAATTGGAAGCTATTTAAGTGAGCTTCGGGTATCAAGGGTTAAATGAATCTGTGACCAACAACCCTCCAAGTAGACATTACGTCAGAGAAGCAACCATGTGACTTCTATTCCGTAGTGACCTTCAACCACACACAAATCGATGCAGGGACATGCTGATGGAGTACAAAACTTCTATGAACCATCTCCCCCCTCCCACGAAATCTTCAAACTCCAGCCACTAGATGAACAAGTTAAAATAATAATATAAAACACAACAAAATCCAACAATCGAACTTAAATCGTTCATTTCCATTCGCGTAACAATGGCGTGATTTGGTAGGATGGATGCGAATGAACAGTTAAAAAGACGACGCAAAAGCTATCGTGGCCTGTTTCAAAGCAAAAATGAGATCAACATATTCATTAAGAGAAAATCCACGAAAAACCTGTCACAGGGCCCAAATTCAAACCTGAGACCTCCCGATTCTGGGACCCACGCAGCATAAAGCGGCCTTCATCGAGCGTCGAGGTAAAAAAAATCCTTAAGCACAGGAAGTAACTAACAAACAAGGAATTAATTGGTACAAAGGTGGAAGGAAGCGGTCGTGGGCTAATTTAAGTTAACAGCCCGGCCGAAAAATCACAGTCAGGATAACCTGGGCTTGATTTGAACCCAGGATCTCCAGAATACGAAACAGGAGTGCCAACCACTTCCATAACAAGTCTCGGAAACTTAAATAAATTACCAGTACTCATTATGTTATTGAACGGTTCAATTGAAATGCGCAAAGTTCATACAGCGTCCAAGTTGATGGGTAAACGAGAAAGTACGAACATGGAAATAAATCGCAGATTATACCAAGGCACATTCCAGCACTGGTCTGCAAAAACCACTACAAACATCAATTTCACTCAGTGAATGGCACAGCGGATATAAGAGCTGGGTACGTCCCAAACAAGAGTCTTGCGGCTACTCAACCTGCGATGTTTGTTAAATATAAATACTCTTTCTTGCTTGTAGTGGCTGTATACAATCTTGTCGTCTGAATAATACAACAAATTTTATCTCGCGACCTTGAACTACTTATTACTAAAAAACTTAAACTAAAATGGGACGACGACCAGTATACAATCTTTGCATTACAAATATGTGGGGGGGGGGGGGGGGGCGCACGCGCGCAGAAATACCTATCTACCTGCTGGTCTGAGATACGCATCCACACCTGATCTAAACACAACTGGAAATTCAACAAGGACAACAAGGCATTTATATAAACATGTCTTTAAAGCACACGAACGGAGCGAATCAAGTTCCCTTTGATAATTTTCTACTTCCAAAGCCGCAGATCAATAAAGCTCAATGTGACGGTCGGCCGGCAAGGGATTTCAACCTAACCTTTACTTTTAAAGACATCCTTTAACAATGAGTTCACTTATCTTTTCTGTCTCGAAATATATCCCGTACTTTCGTTTGGATACTACACTTGATGTCATTGGGTGTGACTCTCCTATAGATGGAAACGTCATTGACACAGAACTCGTGCAATTTATCTCCATCATAAATTTGTCTTCTGAGTTTATACGGGAAACGAGAAGATGCAACCGGTTGTCATGTCAGTCCTATGAACAGCTGATTTGATGTGAACAAATCACGGTGGCTGTGACGTATGGAACAGATACTACTGTGATATTATCACAGATTTGTTACTAGAAACACGTTTCATCACCGAAGAAGTCTAAAATGAATCATTCGAACGATGTTGTAACACTGTTACGTCAAACGATAGGAGTATACATCAAGCACGGAAACACTTTATTGTAAAAGTTTAAAAGGTATTTATAATACATACGGAACATTCTTTATTGAACACTGAAACCTAAACATTTCAGCAAAAGACGATATGCTTCAAAACAAAATGCACAGTCATGCAATGTTGGATTATGTATACAAAATTACATAAAATTTACCGCCTTCATTTAAGTATACCTGGCCTAGGAAAACGAAGTGCAGGATAACTTAGGTCGAAAGGCTAAAACAAATATGGTTCTCACCTCTGACTGGGAATGGCTTCGTCTGAATAGTCTCTGTAGGTGGCGGGATGCTTCTTTTAGTTTCTGGAGACATGGAAGAATTATTAGCAAATAATTTAACTCCGGAAAGCCTGTAAAAATCGCACACACGGACGGAACCAGGCAACACATCCATCACAACCTCATGTTTTGTTTGACACTAGTCGCACCATTCAATGACCGCCAATCACTGGAAATCTGGGCGGGATCCAACTTGTCTTGTAGCCAACCAAAACCACCCGTTCACTTTACCCATAGTTCCATCTCAAGCAGTAAAACAATGCTGCCAATATTACGAAAGGGAAGTACAATACGAAGAAAATCGTACTCCGACAGAATTGTTTGACCAGCATTTAAGATGCAAAGTTAAACATAAATTAATTTGAAAGCCAGTTGACAAGCTCGCATTAATATGTACCAGTATTTGCATTTTTATGACTCGGTGTTACATGACGTATTATTATATAATACTTGAAACACGTCCACCGACAATTCTAGCCGTAGCACTAACCTTAATTACCGTTTCGGAAATATATATTTAAACTAAAATGTAACATATCGAATACGTATGTGCACAAAGCATGTTAACTTCGAACCTCAGGTCACTCTTATATGACTAAGAAAATATAATGAAAATGTCCTACACAATTTTAACCTGTAAATTAGTTAAAATCTATACTAATACTCAAAATTGCACTACAGTATACTAACGTTACGAAATTCAAATATTATATTCTCACAAAAAGCATTGTGTGCATGTAAGCAACAGCACTTACTGACCACTATTAACCCATCAATCCACAGTAGAAATAAACACCCTTGCTTCTTAGACATAAAGTTGCACAAAGCTAAGACAGCTACCAAAATGAAATAACATTCTAAAATACCTTACATCATTCTTAAACTCTCCAGCAAGGAACAGTGTAACTAATTACATCAAACCACACTGTTTACATCACACATCAAATATGCACAAGGTTATAATCAAATTATTCCTGAAACACAAAATAGAAAAAAATATATTTACTACAAGCAGTTAAGGAAATACCTGGAAGAGTAACCAATGAAATGGAATGGTAAAAACATTGTTATGGGATAGGGTGAAGGTAGCATACAAGTGGTTTTATTACACAGCATCAAATGCTACATTCAGAAGGTGTCTCTCACACTTATTATTCAAAATACACTAAAATTCTTAATCAGTTTATCATAAAATTCTTACATAATAAAATTAGTGGCTGTGTTAAATAATAGTTCAACTTATTCTACATGTTTCTTCTGTCCTATATTTATCACAGATCAGCAACATACCAGCTTCACTGTGGATACCTTATTTGTAGTTACTATACCAACTCACTGTGCTTTGCTGTTTCTTCCCTTTTTCCCCCTTTACTGCTCATGCTGTTCTAGGAATGATTCTTCCCTTGTCTGCATACTTTTGTTCCAGCCATCTTCACAAATTCCTTTCTCTTCATGTCTGTTCATGCCCATTGCTTTCAGCCACGTGTCATGCATCCTGCCTCCACTCGATACTAAACTCCCTTTGTGGATGCCTCAATGTCATGAGCACCGGCTGCTCACGCCTTTTTTGTTATTGAGGCAGCACCTGAACAAAATGTAAAATAACACCGTCAAATTCTAGTACTGTAACCAATGACACAACACATTTCTAAACATTAAATTAACTTAATTTGAGATGAAGAGTAGCAAAACACTTCCTATACATGAGGCCTAATGTTTATTTACCTGACTGGCTAAATGTTACTGTCCATTCTTCTTAAGAAAGATATATGTCACAGCAATGAATGCCTCACCTTGCAAGATTTCTCTCCAGAGCTCCTCCCCTTGCAACATCACTCCACACAGGTGTCCAGTACCTCCCAAACTATGGCACTTCTTCACATGATGGTCTTCAAATAAGGTTATCAAGCCAGGATACATTAAGAGCTTCATGTTGAGTGGGATAATCCCTTGGCAATGTACACAAAAGTCAGACAAAACATGTCCAGAGAACAGTAGCATATGAAACAACTGAACAATGTTCTACTTAACCACATATAATAAAACAGACTAATACAAAGGTATGAATAACATATAAAGCAAACTGACACTTACAGCAATAACATGCGAATATCAGGAAAACTCCTGGACCAACAGGTAAATATTGGGCAATTTTTAAGGCACTATAATGATGCAGGTAATACCACACATGGAAAATAAGTACACTTAACAATCAATATCTTAAACCTTTATTTCACTGTATCATAAATAAAAAAGGCGCTTGTGCTTCAGTGTAATCAAAAACTTCAATATTAAACAAAAAAACCTCTGCAATGACTAAAACAAGGCCAAAAGGTAGTTACAGGATCCGATAAATGACGTAACATGTCCACAGAAAACCGATTAATCATATCAGGAATGTCATAAAAACAAAAGAAGTATAGAAGATGACTGTCTTCTGGGTTGTATTGTCAGTCAGTTTACCAAAGTTTCAGAGGTCCTTGCTGCCTCCATCAACACTAATTGTCCTGATGATGGGAGGCAGCAAGGACCTCTGAAACGCCGGTAAACTTCTACCAGACTACACGGCGCAACGACCCAGAAGTCTTCTTCGTACTCGCCGCAGTGAAAATCTCAAATCCTACATAAAAGAAGTAAAGCTTCCGTAAGCTAAAAGTAATGGCTAGCAACCACTGCATTTAGCTACTTTCAAATCAAATTATGGAAAGGTCTTACATCAGTGGAATATCAATTAGGTATGAACCTTATAATACTAAACCACAATACTACAAAGTGCTCAAAAATACCTCGGCGGAGAAAGTAAACAGGCTATCAAATACACCGTTACCAACTGTGATACTGTTCCCTCAACTGTTCAAATAAGAAATCACATGACAAACTGCAGTTCTGGGCACCACATTAAAAAAAAGTCTTGTTTCGTTTTTTGAAGTACCACATTTTAAAGCCAATGATGGCAAGAACGTCATACCTAGAAATTTAAGGCGTGACATTCTACAGAAACAATTCTGACTAAAGAAACAGCCCCTAGGCTACAATTTTTAACTTTTCCACTTTTATCACAAAATGAACCACAAACAGGGATATGAGAACATGCCTGTTACAGATATAAACACTTTGTTTTTGTGGCACAATCTTCCATTTGATCAGATATTTTGTTCTCTTTCAAGCACGTCCGATCATTTCAAGGGACTCATATTTAAAGACTGAACAGTCAATTCTGAAGATAACTGTAGCAACAGACAACTGATAAGAAGCAAACTGAAAAACATACTTTCATGACTTTAAAAAAATTACCATGTTTGTACAGTCATATACTTTAATAATATATAAATTAAAATATCCTATTAAAATGTAATTAACATATCCTCAAAACATGTGACCCTTGAATAACTAGGTGACAACTTTCAGTCATAAAATCCACCAATCATTGTGTCAAGATAATTCTTAAGAGATAAAGTCAACTGTGCTAGCATAGGTACATCAAACAATAATTTAGAAAAGAGTGTCTTCAGTTGTTTTTGAGATCCATTATTAACAGTTACAAGGTTTAGTTTCAATCAAACACGAAGTGGAATACTCAACAGCTGTTGCTCTAGCAATTCGTTCCATCTACATGCATCCTTGTAACCTTTGCTGTAATCTATATTGAACAGCCGGCTTCAATTCACTGAAAAAAGAGCAGAAGAAAAACGGATTAATTTGCAGAATGTAAAAAATTGAAATTTATTTAAGGCTTATGGGGAATTGGTCACGGCCTGGGATGTGATGCCTCGTAGTATCATAGATGGCTACCAATGTTTTGCAGTAACATATCACCACAATCTTCAAGGTTCAACCACATAGCATCAAAATCCAGAAAACTACAATCAACATATTAACTGTTGTAAGAACAGTGAATTCATTCGTTAGGTTGTTTGCTGCAATGCATCACCATTCATGACGGACAGCAACATGTTATGAAGCGGTAATCTGTCCAAACATCACCTTGAAAATATAGGGTCACATTTTCTCAAAAACATTAGTAAATCAACTCATCATAACAGTGGCATCACACAAGAATGAAGCACATGTCATAATTTTACAATAAACACACATTTGGTCTGACTTTCAAAGTTCCACTAAATATCAATCATATTTTCAGATTTTCTATCAATGCTAAAGTTTCAGTTGGCTATTTTCTGATGCTGTGCCTTAACACACAGCGCACGTGTTTCCTACCACATCCATCCTGAAATTCTGCTCACAATCGCCATACCATGTCGGTCCAAAACTATCTGACATTAGCTGTTGATACAGCATTGTAAAAAACCAAATAAATAAGCATCAATGGTAAACTGGGTCTTTAAAACGTGTTATTGGAAGCCACAATCAAAGGAACACCGTGCATCAGCAGCTTTCACATACAGCTACACAAATTTTGAATTCTGCATTACCACTGCATTAGACACCGTAGAAGGATTTTATATAATATGTTAACATGACGTAAGGACTCATTACCACGCATCAGTGTCAGGAGACACAGTGGGATCATAACAAAATACTGAATAGAAAAAACAACACGTTCTTGACTACGAAACAGTTACAGTTCGTTTAAATGATTCATGAGAGACAGCCTCTAACAGAACCTGCACTGACCAAAGATTTTACTGGTACTAAGACGAATCACAAAAAATTCTGACAATTTAAATTTTACCTACTTTCATTACACCAAACATTTTACAGTATTTTAATAAAGCTAACAAACAGCAAACAGAATGCATTATTCTCTACACATACACATTAATTTTATTATGATGCTATTGAGAAATGCTGTCAAAAGGCATGAAAATAAACCACTTACCATGCACACACTTCAATTATGTTGCACCCATTCATACCAACACACACATCCATATTAAGTCAGAAAAAAAAATTCATGTATTAAAGCAAGGTACTGCCCAGAAGAAAAATTGTATGTGACGAATTTCAACAGTCTGCGGTTCTACGTAAAATTAAGTTTACATACCATGCCATCTTCCACTTCACGAACAGCTGAGCATCAAGAAAAATGTTTAGTCATCCACAGTATATGCACGCGTGTTTTCACGGCAAAGTAAAATAAAAGGAAACAATCTTTCAGCCAATTCAGAGACACATGATCATATAATTTAAATGTTTAGTATCCTGTGAAAGTGACATGGTATAAATACACTCATAATCCTCTAGCGGAGGAACTTACCACACAGCACAATTATGCAAAATTGGAATTAAATGAAAAACCAGTCAACGAATATTAGAGAACACATGACTCTCAGCTGGTCAAAGCTGCATCCATCTTAGAATACATGAACTGGGGATTCCATGCATTTCCCCTGCATGAAGACAAACATGCAAAAATCAACAAACAAGCGACACGAAGCAGAAAGCTTGAAAGTGACCCGTCTCAAAATGTAATCCATAAACAATATTGTTCCATCATTCACGTCACATTAAAGACAAAATGCATTTGTTAGTTGTGAACGATGAAATGAGACAGAATTACAAGGACACAAAAAACATCAAGAGGAGAAAGGGGGATAATAAAAGCGGCATGGAGAAAAAATACAGAAAGCTGACAACATGGGGGAAAAAAAATTCCACCAAACCTGAGCAGTTGGTTTAGTGAGCGTAATTTTTTAACAATTATTTTTCTGTGAATGTTGGTTGTCGTGGCCTGTGCTCTACCAAGATTCCCTCCAGTTGCCGTCGTGAAACAACGGCACTCGAGAGACATCAATATCGGGTGACGTCTCTGTAAAATACCGATCAATACCTCAGAAGGATAAGTGTTGATGAATACGGATAAAATGAATAACTAATCCGAAGAACATTTAGGATTTGCAAACAGGTAATCAAATACAAAATTCAGACACAAATACAGAAGCATAAGGAAACCAAGTTTCAGCTAACCACCTGAAAGGACAGCTTTCAACCACTAAAAAGGCTGACATTTCTCGTATAAGAACTACTAACCACAGCAGCAAAAAATGCTGCCGTGAAAAATTAATAGAATAACATGTACCAGGAAATCCTTGTGTGGGCTGTCCAGGGACAGAGTACTGTGGCCGGAAACTGGCAAAGTTAGCTGTAGCAAAACCAGCTGGAAGTTGACCAGCCTGAAAACCTCCAGGGAACTGACTGCTCAGCAATCCTATAATACAAAATTATTGTGATTAAGTAACGGATTAAGACAAAAATGTTTTGTCTGCTGACATCATCAAAGAAATCACGATTCCACCGTCTTTAATACGAGCATAAAATGCATGATGCAGTTTGAATTGTGGCCATAATTTCACTATATAAACACACTATTTTACAAGGCATAGTAAAGTATAGCCATCCCACAACACGCCATGTAGGTCGTTTGGGGGGAGTGGAGGTATAGCTCCTACTCTTTCTTGACCTCGGCACTAGACGGGGGTGAGCGGTCAGCATCACGCCCTGGCCGCACTTTACCCCTGGGGAAAAGACCCCGGTAGTCATTGAATAGGCGGCTGGGTGGGCCCTAGAGCCGGTCTGGACTCAGAGGCTAGAGAAAAAATCCTCTGCCCCCATCAGGGATCGAATCCCAGTCATCCAGCCCGTAGCTAGTCACTACACTGACTCAGCTATCCCGGCTCCTACACGGTGTAGTACTGCAGGTAAAAGCAATAGTAAAATAGTTTAAAAAACATAGGACTGCCTATAACTATGACACTGAATGATGTGCTCAGCGTTCGAAGGATTTATTATAACAATGGTTGAAAGTTCGTACAGATAACAACTTTCACAACTTTACCTGTGGGTCCCTGTTGGGAAGTGGTAGGGGTAGTAGGGGTGGACCCCGCAGTGGTTGTGGCAGCCAGACGCGATAAGATTGATCTTTCTGACATCTGCAACCGCTGCGCTACTGGTGGGATACGAGCCAGAGTGGCAGGAAGGCGACTCACATCAGACTTCATGTCCGACAGGAGTTCCTCTAGTTGGTTGAGAACCTACATTCAAAAGAAATATATAAATCTCTCTCTATAAGTACCAATCAGATGCAACGAAAAGTCTCTGTAATATACTAATTACATGGAAACAGATCTGAAAGCTTTAATATCACAATGGCTAAACCCTATTATTGTAAGACAGAGGTAGTACATTTCTCTGAAATGTTGGTATGAGTCCACAATGCATCAGAACTTGGAACAATATCATTATTATTCAACTGATTCTGTTAATATTTACTTGTGATTCACTTAACAACGCAATATTCGAAACAAACTATTTTTCCAGAAAGAGCAAAAAACACGTAATCATTATAAAATGTATTTCTTTCCAGCCACATTACACTTTGTGCTGATACGTAATATAAAGCTGTCATACCTTGTGAAGCACTGCATTTGCAGGTTTGTTTCCTGCCAAGCTTTCCTTGGAGAGATGCTGGTGTGATTCTGCAAGGCACTCCACTTCAGCAAACCTGGCATTGAGCGACATTGCGGGGTGGTTTGGATCCTGCGTCAAGTTCAGATACGCCGCACGACGCAACTGCTCCTCTATAACCAGTGCCTGTTCCAGAAGCTACCAGCAGAGAGCATCGAGCACAATGAGAACATAAACTAGGCACAACGTAAAACACTAAATTTAACATATCATAGAATGCATATTACAACGCAAATTATTTTAAAGTACGAAGTCTAAAGGTTTCCAACAACGGCGAGTTACATTCTATAAAACTGGTTTGTTGGACTTTGTCCATCATCTTTCAGAACATAACTTTATTTATAATGAAGACGATAAACAAACTCCAAGAAATCAACTGAACAGATTTGATGTAGTCTCTCGCTTCCCATAGAATGAGGAAGAGAAATTATATACCAAAAAAAACGAAGGAAGACATCACAATTAAAACTTACAGTAAAGAGACCCATGGAATGATCCAGAAGATTGTAGAATCCTTCACTGATACATACACAAGAAATTGTGCTATGAGAACAAAAACTAGACACTGCTATGTGATGACTATCTCACTGCAAAAATCAAAATTATAGTTTTCTAATATCATACCTTGAACCTCCTTGCAAGAAATTTGTTCTTTATCTCAAGGAAATTTCCCTTTCCAACATCCATCTTAAAAGGTTCATTGATGATGGCAAACCGTATGTCATTTTGGATGTCCTGCCAGCGACCATATCCGTGAGTTACGATCCCTGCCAGGAGCCAATAATCGTGCCTGAAAAAGTACATTCAGTAGGAAAAAAGTAACAGGCAACACATGTAAGTAATTCTATGGCAAACTATTACTGAAACAAATATCAATGGCTGCAATAAAAAGAAATCACGTGAATGCTGCAGTTGCCACTCAAGCACCAAAGATGGCTCACAACTTGTCACTGCCCAACACACTTTGTTGCTTTCTTCTACAAATATCCAACAGACTACTCAGTTATCTCATATCCCTAGACAATGGTCTATTAATGACCTTAAACATGGCAGTCTTCTGGAATGTAGAAGTACACAATTTCTCAGGTGCTTGCTGCCTCTACCATCAGGGCAATCACTAGACCAGACTGCATGGCACAACCTTTCTGGCTTCTGCCAACCTTAAGCAAATCTGGAAGAGCGAACAGTCGTAACGTAAATGCCATTACTACTGATGGCAGGCCGATCATGAGGATGATAGTCAGCAGAGGGATCTATAGTTTAATGTCGGCTATGGGCTGTAAGGATATAAAATTGAGAAATCCTCAGGTCTCAGTTCTGCCAATACCATACACAAGTAAATGTAGTAAGGCAGTCTATTGTGACTTCAGAACATGGTGTTCATCTCCTGTTTGGGGCATGTAATGCGGAAATAAACACACTGCACACAAAACCCACACATTCACATTTTTTCACTTCTGCTTACAACAGAAAAAACAGCCTGAGCCACTACTTTGAACGCTTTCCACAAGCTGTAACTCCAGTTCTCACCTTCTATGCCATATCTCATATTCTCGTCCAGGAACAGCCGCCTTTTCCTCATTAAGCCAGAGCGTGTGCAGTTCTGTAAAGCCTCCGTCAGCAATGTTGAACATAAATTTCCGTTTGGGTTTGTCAATATCATCTACTCCTTTGATGTCTTCCTTATCCTCCTTTTTATCTTCTTTTGTTCCTTCCTTTCTTTCATCCTGCATCAACAGTGATCAGAACCAGAAAACGAACACACAAATAAAAGACACAACCCGTACCAACTTCCCACAAATTTTATATACGCAGAACCAAAAATCTTATTGCATGGGCATCTACTTAATGACATTTTGATTTGTACCCACATTCATTCAAAAGAACTATACACTCTGAACTTCAAACAATAAATTTACCTCCTTCACACACCACTACCTTAGCTCCTCTTACAGAACCTACCTTGCGTTCTTCACCTTCGTCCTTGACGACAACAATATCGTCGTCTTCCTTCTTTTGCTCCTGACTCGGTGTGACAGGCTTGCTCTTCTCCTCATCTGACATTTCCCCTTCTTTCCCCTTCTCCTCTTTGACCACTACTTCCTCTGCTTTTACTTCATCACTTCCAGCACATTCCTTCTTTTCACTAGTATCCATCTCCTCAAGCTTCTCTTCCTCTGCTCCAGTCACCTTCTCCTTCATCTCTCCTTCCTTTTCGGCACATTCTTCCTTCGCCGTTTCCTTCCTTTCATCCACTTCTACCTCCACATCCTCCTTTCTGATTTCTGTAACATCCTTTGGTTCCTCTTTGGAAGCTTCTTTATTAGTTTCTTCTTTATTTGCAATATCCTCTCCCTTTAACAGATTCAGTTATTTACATTACCAAAACTTACATTAAATAAAAGTGCCTTTACTCTGCGACCAGCCAAGTGAAAGGTCAGAGACGAAGTCCCTAACTTAGTACCGAGGCTTGGTCAGGGCTACTGCACACCGTGCAGGGTGGCGATAGATGAATAAGGACGGAACAATGCAGTGACCACACGCTGGACAAACCCCTGAGCAAGCAGCTAAACAGACTCATTGTATCTTTCTAAGGCATTCTCAGACGGAATTAAGATAAGAAACGGGAATTTACGCCCAGAAAAACTGAAAATCCCCGAGAAGTGGAATGGGTTTAAATCCTTAGGAAATTCTTTGAACACTATTGTACCATCTGTCTTTCAAACTCGCAAAAGATAAAAATGCTGTTTCAGTGGATCCACATAATATAAGAAAACTGTAGACCATGTATGAAAAATATGTTTCACGAAAAAAGGTATTTTCATGAACAGAAAAAAGGGGAGAAACAAAAAATCCAAAGTTTATAACCTCAACTGCAAAGACAGTAATTTAAATAACAACTATTATTATTATTTAGTGTTCTGTCTGACGACAGGTCCATATGAACAGGATCCTTCCATCCTTTTCTCGGACTGGGACCTGTTCATATACGTTCTTGGCAGATGATCCAGAAGTGGTTTGCCATTGCCTTCTTCTGTATGTGAATAGAATAATTGTTGGGATGCCACGGAGAAACCGGGGAAGCCCCCGGAGGAAAACCCCGTGTTGCCTAGACCACGGCCTTGCCCAACACAAGTTATAAATTTGGGCATTGCCGGGAATCGAACCCGAGACCCCAGGATTACAAGGCCAGCGTTCTAACAGCTAGACCACCATGGCGTACTAAATGACAACTATGAGACTGTAAATTCACAAAAAAACCAAAATACAGCACAATTCTAACCTCCTTGTCCTTGCTCTCATCCTGACTATTTAGCGTAGGGGCTGGGCTCGCCGCGGCACTTGTAGCCGGGGTAGCACTAGTACTTGTGGTAGCACTGCGTGGCATCTCACCACCCTGTTCCATGCCTGGCGGTACTACACCAGCGGCCGTTTTGATAGGTTCTACAGGTTTACGGATCATCTCAGGCATACTGTAGTAACCATTGATATGTTCAAATTCCTGAACCTGCAAAAAATAAGTGTATTTTAGCTTCATAGCCATGTTTAAGAAAAATATCCGCTGTAAGGGATAAAAAAACACGGACAGGAATAATGAAAGGGCACACAAAGGAAAGGAGATAAAAGTGCATGAGGGGTGAAAAATGGGGAGAAATGATAGGATGGACAAATTAAAAGAATGGGGAAGGAATATGGGAGATATGAGGGGAAGATAAAGGTGTGAAAAGAATAACAAAAAGGAATAAAGAGGGCAAGAGATGAAGATGCAACAAAATAAATCTGTAAAGAAAAATGCATTCTAACACAACTCTCAAGGCTGAATTTGCCCGTTCTTCTTGTATGGACCACTACACATAATTGCTCACGGTTGCTGAACGTTAAAGAGGACCAGTTTTGGTGGGAAATATGTTCAGTTTGCATCAAGATTATGTAACAGTCACAAGATTTTCAATTATTTTCACATTAAAATGATTAATAGCTGAATAAATCAAGTAACGAGTAACCACATACAAGCACTAAATTAAATAATTACCTTCTTACGTATAAGAGACATAACGCCAATTCTTGTCAGTACATGTTGTCGACTGAGGCCTTCCCGAGGAACGCCATCTGCAAATGTCTCAGCGTTATCAGCACCAGGTTCACAGAGGTGGCGCATGAACAGAGAAACATATGCTTTGAAGTTTTTCTCAGACTTCCCTCTCAGATCACGCACCAACCTGATAATAAAACAACATATTAATAAAACAATGATGGTTGCATCTTTATAGAAGTTCATCAAGTAGATGAAACTTGATGTGTCTGTACACAATGCAGTAGTGGATGGAAATTTTCTACCAAATAATAATTTGATATGAAGGAACAGAAAATGAGGAAGAGGCAGAAGAAAAAATAAAGCTCAGATATAAACAGAGTTAAAATCAAAAGACCACATGCAAACCATAGAAGCAGAGGTTTGAAGTATATAGCATTTATGCCTAAATTATGGCCAGTCACATGAACGCTGGCCAACACACAAAACTTACCACTGAGAATTGAAGGCATCTTGAGGTGGCATGCCGTATCGCATAATGGCATTGAGGAATGCTTTCCTTTGTCGAGCATTAAAACCCAGAACCTGAAAAAAAAAATCTTTAAAGGCAGTTCTTAAATGATTGTAGTAATCTAACATTACATTTGATTTTAACCCCATTAAGTGTCAGCCAAAACATGTCAGTAGGCTGGATGCGTATTAGCTGACAGATTATAACTGACTCGTAGGTAAGAAAATGTACAGCATTTACATTACAAAATTTTTTAATTTCATTCACACCTTCGCATCTAAAACAAATTTCGAAGTAATTTACTATTCCAAATGCCAGAATGCACATTCTGAGGTTTCAAAATGCCATAAATTTTATATTTGTACTCTTCAGCACATGACAGACAAATACCCAATTTTCTTTTACTGTTATTGCATAAGTATGAACCATAGATGCATGTTTAAATTAGAATATTCTACATTTGTAATTAAAATTTTACCTGTCACAAGTTCATGGTCTGGTGTATAAAAACGATGTCAGTAGGCAAGATAAACCAGAAAATCTTAAGCTACCTTTCATAATAAAATGTATGGGAAGGCCTTTAAGAGAGGTTTACTACTTCAAGACCACTCCTCTAAAACTTCCCGTGCACCAGTAAATGATGATTACTGTACCGAGTTTCTCAAAATACTGATTCATACCCTTGAATCAATACCGCATTTTAACAAGGAACTCGGATTTAAACCACAGAGGCCCGTGACTCACCTCAATGTTGCCACCCACACGTGCCAACAGCGGCGGCAATGGACGGTCCTTCTCATCCCTACGTTCAAGACGACGGCGACTACGACGTCCAGGCTCGCCGTCAGTCTTCTCATCAAAATCATCGTCTTCCTTGTCATCATCTGCTCAAAGAATGAAGGCATGTCAAAATGCTAACATCTGACATTATCAATATAAAACTTATGTACGAAGACAAGGTCACTAGATGGAAGTGCAAGATAAACTTGGGTGCCAGTAACTGTCATATTTCATCATGAAAAAACTACACAAAACAAATCACCTGAAGGAGCCGAGAAGTCGGAGTTGTAATCCGACAGGTTTTCCTGCCAGGTTGCATCATCTCTGCCCTCTACTGTACCATCATTATAATTAACCTGAAACGAAGATTGCAATTCCAAACAAGTTTTATTCAAATACAGCAAAAACAGACAAATGTTAAATTATAACCTTATGAAATTCAGATAAATACAGTATACAAGGAAGCTGTCTACTGTTATTTTACAGTCTAACCAAAGTAGTTTTACTCGGTCACCATCAATTATCACTAGAGTATATAAAAATATCAAACTCTGCATAAATGTTTATGAGTCACATACGGTCTATTAACAAAGTAACGTGCGTAAAACATTCTAATGTGACGAGTCACACGCACCAGTTGAAGCAGACTGTAATGTCATTGTCCAAGCCTAGAATGTGTTAACATACAATGCGAACATCAACACACCTGTTTGCGCACACGTTTGCCCTTGCCAAGTGTCCGTGCCATATCTTCTTGCTGCTGCTCATAATGGTGACGCAGCAGTTTCACCCAGTACGCCGGATCGGTGTTCTCTGCTTCCTGTTTGATTATCTCTGTGGGTTCTTCTTCCTTCAAGCGGTTAAAACATGAAACAATTCTTTATGTGTTTCAGGTAGAAACTGTAATCAATCATCTGGTACACGCAGCCAGCTAATGATGAATTTAAGTTATTACGAAAAGCAGCGTCATTGCTCTTTGAATACTAAGTTTCAAGATTCCTCTAACAAATGTTTCTTCACTTGCACTTACCTCTTCTCCTTCCTTGGTGACGTAGCTGGCAACCTTGAAGGATGACAGGTACTCGTTCGCCCAGTTCTCTTTCTGTTCAATACCTTCCTTTGTTCTGTCTAGAAGCTCATCAATTGCTCTATCATCATAATGTATTGCTTCATCTTCCTTACCCTAAGGAAAAAACAGTTGATGATTTGAAACACGCAAGAAGTTTTATCAGACCTGAATTTGAAACAATGAAGTGTGACAAATGAATAAACTTAGCCAAGCCAAATGTAAGACATCCTGGACCATCTGATGGCAATTACTATGCGCCGAAACACGTATTTGAAAGCTGACGACAGAAAGAAAAGTAACCTATCTTCACAAATCAAAATGGCATGCTGCAATTAAAATTAGAGAGATGTTTTTGAAAATTTCAGGCTCATGGTGGCAAGTATGAAAATGGCTGTCATCTGGGATGTTATGCTATGTAGTCAGGTAGAAGTTTACCAATGTTTCAGAGGTACTGGCTGCCTCCATCATCATGTCAATGAGCTTTTTTTCATTCACACGTTATTACAGCGTAAAAACTTTACTGTTACCAGCTAGGACTGAGGACTTTTCAGGTACATGGAGAACCTCACTGCATAAGACAGGTTTTGGTTAGGAAATACTGAAAATTGAAGTTTCAGAAAACGACACCAACCTCCTCCTCTTTGAATAGCTCTTCTGTTCCAAAACGCAGGATATCGTCAAGCTCTTGTTTTGAGAATGTTGCACCACGACCGCCCATACCTGGGCGCACAACCAGATGAGTCAACATCATCTTCCGCTTGGCAACCTGCGTCACACGTTCCTCAACCGAGTTGCGCGTCACAAATCGATAGATCATAACCTGCACATCAGGAAATCAAATTGGCATCATAATTCTCAAAAGTATGACCAGTATGTCTGTCTGGAAAAGTTTTAATTTACTGCCTACAATTACTCTGTTTCTGTAACATGGCGCGCAATTTTCACCAACTCAGACACTCGTATATGAAGCCTTGGTAGATATTACCATTTGTATAAAGCGTACTAAAATCTGCAATTTGCAGAACATATTACATACCCCCAACGGTATTGATGTTTATTGCGGATACAAAGCTATTATTGCACAATAAGCACGGTGTGCAACAGTACCCAGAAATCTTCCAGTGTCATACAATTTTGTTCAAAACAAAGTGGCCACACAGCATTTCTAAAGTGCCCACCACAAGCGACAATGTGGTAGCTTCAAAAGCATTAAAATAATGAGCACGCTTTCAATTATAGTGGCTAATGGCAGAAAAGGATAACAACTGAAACACTACCTTATTAGCCTGACCAATTCGATGAGCTCTGGAGAAGGCCTGAATATCATTATGAGGATTCCAATCGGAGTCATAGATAATAACGGTGTCGGCTGTTGCCAGGTTTATACCCAAACCTCCTGCCCTGTTAAAAGTAGGAACACACATCAAACAGTTGAATACAACTCGATACAAGGCTTAGGTAAGCCAGTGTAGTTCAGTCAGTATAGCGACCGAATACAGACTGGACAACTGGAGTTTAATCCATAGCAGGGGCAAACAATTTTTCTTCTAGACTCTGCACCTGGACTGACTTGAATTATACTAACCCACAATATCAAGAGAATATCAGCGATAGAGTTACGACATCCGCATACCTTGTGGAGAGGAGGAATACAAACTGCTGCGCTCCAGGAGCATTGAATCTATCAATAGCCTCTTGTCTAACGGATCCGGTGATATTACCATCAATCCGCTCATATTTATATCCTTCACCTTCTAAATAATCTTCCAGGATGTCCAGCATTTTTGTCATCTGTGAGAAGATTAGAACCCTGAAAATAAATACCATGAACAGTCGAATAGAACACTATTCCGGCATACGCATCATAACAAGCGTTTCTAAGCGTGGTATTGCAGTCCAGTGTCTGCTATAGGACCTATGACAGTAAATATTACGTATCACTTCCATCACACATAATCAGTTTCATTACTTACTGGCACAGCGTTATAATGATGTTACAATGACATGATTTGGTCAGTCAGACACTTTACATCAAATAATTCAATATGGAAAACTAATTAAAAATTTAGTAAAAATCTGATACACCAATATTCAGTTACATATAAAAATGCACGCTGATATACTCTGGCTTTCTTCAAGCACAAAGCAAAAATTTGCATATCCATACCTGTTTTTGATGGCAGGCCACCTATTACACTATCAACTGCAGAGGCTAAATGCAATGAATAAGATTTGTCCACTTCAAAGTAATATCGAGGTATTTGCTTGCAGGATTTAAGACACGAACCCCACGGCAGCACAAGCCCCGACACAGATTCAAACCAAATACAAGTCAACAGTATTGCTGACTGAGCGACCTTGCTCATTATTTTTTCAACTCATTACCTGTGACCTTGTTCCTTGAGTTTACGTAGCATGGTAGAGAGCAACACAAGCTTGCCAGAAGCCTTTATGAGCGCCGTTGTTTCATAGGTTCCATTGGGTGTTGTTGGAGCCTCTTGCGCAGCGGCTGGGAACAAGTAGGGATGGTTGCAGCACTTTTTGAGGTCCATCATGATATTTAATAATGATACCTGTAAAATATGACGTGACAAGGTGATTTGTAGAAGAAGAAAAAAAGCAATTTACAATTTTGTACTGAGGCAGAGGGAACAATGTTCATATAAGCAACCAAAGCGGCCCACAATACAAGCATTCACACACCTACCTGCTGGCCACCACCTTTAGGATTTAAAGCCTCGAAGTTCCTCGTCAAGATAAATTTGTAGTACTTCTTTTGCATCGGCGAGAGTTCTACACGAACGATAAACTCCGACTTGGATGGCATACTCTGAAATATTAACATATAAATCAAATACAAGTCTGTAAAGTAGGTAACTTGGAAAGACGAATGAAAAAATTTTTGTTTTGGAGGAACAAATTTGTAATGGATAATTCTTTTGTTATCAAAACAGCACATAAACAGACAGAGAGAGAGAAATGGCTCTTTCACCACAAGCATTTGCATATGCAAAATAAGTTTGATCAATCAGAAATATCAAATCCTAAACATATGATAATGTCCCATAATGTTGTGCCCAAAAAATGACCTGCCATAAATTGGTATTAAGCATTACACTTTAACATAAATATTAATAATATTAAAACGTACCTTCAGTACATCAGTTTTAAGACGTCGCAACATATGAGGACCCAACATTTCATGAAGTTTCTTAACTTGATCTTCCTTTGAAATGTCAGCAAACTCATTTTGGAAGGCCGCCAAATCATTAAATTTCTCTCGGCACAGAAAATTTAGCAGATGAAATAATTCCTCCAGGTTATTTTGTAGAGGTGTACCTGTTAGCAGTAACTTGTACGTAATGTTGTAGCTTGCCAGCAAGCGGAAGAACTAAAAATGAATCAAAGAATTCAACAGAATAAAAACAACGGAACATGAGTCACATGCCCTCAGAATCCAGCATCTGACTGACATTTCATTCATGGTATTGTCTGTGTCAGTTTAGTTGGCGATTCTGGTTCAATGCATTACGCCTAGGTTTATTCAGTTATATAATTTTCCTAACTTATAAACAAAATACAATTGAATCACTGAATACATAAATCTTAAATACTGAAAATTACAATTCCACAAAATTTTTATTACACTTCCACATCCTCATATACAAAGACTGTTACAGGATCACAGAATAACAAATTAATGCATTCAAGATCCTTACTGGATTAGAAATCTATACATTCTTCCGCTGAAACAGTCTTACCAACTTACTTTTGACTGATTGCTCTTGAGTCGATGGGCTTCATCAACCACTAGGACTGCCCAGTCTATGGACCCAAGACATGCTGCATCAATAGAGATCAGCTCGTAGCTGGTCAGCAGGACATTAAACTTGATGGTATTTGCCCTAATTCGAGAAGCTCTACCACCCCTCACAGCACCTTCTTCAAATGAGAGTTCATTTTCACGGATTACAGCCCTCGAGTCCTTGTCTCCAACGTAGGTCACTACATAGAAATCCGGAGCCCACGTCTCAAACTCTCGTTCCCAGTTAATAATTGTTGACAGAGGTACACTGAGCTGCAAAGAAACAAGCAAATGTTTTCGATATTCTCCACGTGACGTACGTGCAGCCATGGTAACAATCGAACATAAACACCAGTTCTTTCATCAACATCAATAATACCATACAGACAGAAGTAAACAGATTTTATTTTGTTTTTGCATACAATTAAATTGCTCAGAGCATATTTTATATACATCCAGTAATGTAAGGTCTTTCCATATTTTGAAATAATGCGGCCACAGAATATATTTTTGTTCGTTAATGTAATGATCAATAAAATATCTAACAAATAACAAATTTTTCACCGTAGAAGCACCATATTAAAATATAACATTTTACAGACAGGTTTTAGAAGAGTACGGCAAACACTTCAACCTGTTCCCAATGAGATGTGAGATTCTCGTGGCAATGAATATGTTGATCACGGTATCTGCTGTTGTGGCACACATTGCAACACAACACAGGATACAGCAGATACTTTACTGATTAATCTACAATAAAAATATGCCAAAGAATTGTCTTCGTAACGCATTTAAAAGATACCTGCTTGGCACAAAGAAGGTTAAGACTTTCCTGTGAATGTTAACACCATTACTTACCAAAAAAGGACCCTTACAATGGCCTTCTTTGTACAGAGAGTAGAGAAACGTAATGGTTTGAATAGTTTTACCAAGACCCATCTCGTCTGAAAAAGATAAACACTTTAATGCAGAAAGAACTGAAAGAATATAAATGCTACTAAAATCAACCAATTACAACAGACTTCAGCCAACCTCAGCAATGAACTGACTAAAATGAAAATCAGCTAGAAAAATAACAGTCCAAATTTGACGCCCATATAAATGATAGGAAAAATTACAATTCCGTATATAAGTTGTACCCATGGCAAACCATTTGCACGTTGAACCAGCATAAATTACATTTATCTTCCACATGCACAATTTAAGATTCTTGACAGCAACTACAGAATGGCAGTAACAGCATATGAGGAGAGGAAGGGGCACCAGTCAGTTACAGCACATGGAACTGTTAATACCTGAAGACTTTCAGCAAGTGAAGTAAGTTTAACATTGACACCTCAGAATCTCAAAGTGGCAATGTCAATACTGATCTTATGGTGTGTGCTGCCACCGTGCAGACTTATAGGTGCACATAAACACATCTACACCTCCATCACCATCAAGTCTTGCAACACTGCTTGAAAATTAATGCAACACACTACATACTAATAATGAACTTGACTCACGGGCTTTTTTTCTGACAGTCCTACCTGTTTCGTCATTTAAGTATGGTACCTGAGCCCATTTACCTTTAAACGGCCAGATGACGAAGTTGCGAGACATTAACGCCTAAGTTAACGGTATAGTGGTATGCTAGTGTGATGTATGGCCAGGTGAATAATGCGTAAACCACAACACATGGTCAATAAAGGTCATGAGTTTTTCACATCATACTGTGATACTGGGAACGACCCATTCTTCAAGTGCCTGAGCACTGTGGGTCCCAACTTTTCGTTGGCTTGATCTATAGACATTCGGTAGGACTCCTTGGACGAGGGATCGGCCCGTCGCAAGGCCTCTACCTGTACACAAGACAGCACAATGCAGAAAAAAGCGGACAAACATCCATGGCTTGAGTGGGATTCGAACCCACAGTCCCAGCGACCAAGCAGCACAAGGCCAACGCCTCAGACCGCACGGCCACTGTGGACCCGTTTTCACATCATAACCTAAATAAATTAAAACAACTGATAAGGAACAAATTTAACTAACCTGCCAAGATGGTATCAATGCCTTGTCCCCAGCAATACCGTAGCCAGTTGAGACCTTCCAGCTGGTATGGATGAAGCTGCATACCGGTTTGGTCAATATAATCCGGTTGTTTATCAAGCTTCTTCTTCAAGTCTGTCAATGGCTTTTCAGGCGGCGGAGTATAGCGTCTAAACAAATGCACATGTCTACTTGTGACAGATGATGGGTGGAACCATCTAAACAAATATACACGTCTACTTGTACATGACAGGTGAAAAATTGTAAATGACAAGTTGAAAAGTGTAATCATTTTTATAAACAAATTTTATATTTTCTGCTCAAGCATTCTAGAACCTGAAGGACGGATTTATTTCTGCAACTGGTAATTACGTACATCTGTATATATACCTAACACCTGGCTATTACAGTTTTAAAGAGAATCTTACAGCAATAAAACTATATTAAACAGGTAAATGTATCTGAAATTATAACCTCCGCCAATAATGTGATATGGCTCCAGAACATTCCAAAACCAAAATCAGCAATGAACTGATGTAAAATAATGATTCTGATTTTTGATGCCAGAATGATCAATCAGGCTGAGGATCTGATGTCCAGAATAATCAAAGATATTAAATTAGCTGTTGTTATGTTGACAAAGAACTTGAATTAATGTGATTTACAAAAAACCATTCCAGTGGTACTGAAGGACGTTGTCATCTCAATTACACCTCTCAACTATATATGTCCATCAACCCATACATCCCACAGCCTGTGGCAAGTCTTACGTCATTCAAACTATGCACTTAGGAAACCAAACGAGAAACACGTCATGTCTGTCGCCAGTGGCCGATAGGAGTAGGCCATGCTTAAAGGGTTAAAACAAATATCCGAGCAGATTCCGTTGACTAAAATGTCGATGATTGTTAGGCATAAAAATAAAATAACTTGGTTTAACTTACGGAGTTTTATCGCCGTCCTCGTCTTGGAGTTCCCTTGTCTTCATTCTTTTACCTTTTCCTTTCTTGCCCTTTCTACCAGACCCATCAACATTACAAGATGCTCTCAAGTCCTGAAACAAAACGGATACAATTTTCTGATATCATGTTTCCTTCCAGAACATAAAATTGTCATGAAAATTATGTAAACATAAAAACAAAAGAAATCACTGTAATGTTTATAAGAAAATAAGATATTCTTGAATAAAGAAATTAATAATGATTCAAGACTGTCATGTACCACACATAACTAAAGAATGTAAGCAATAATGTACACAACATTCATAACTCTATAAATGGCAGGTAATGGCAGATACAAAATTATGTTACAGTCGTAAGTCACACCGCACTACACGCGACACAACCTGCGCATACCAGCGTTTCATCGAAGTTTCAGGAATTTCTGGGGGAGCCACTCCATTAGCTTTAACTCACTCATAGCCACAACACTTCAGGAAGCAGACACCTCCCTACTGTTCAGCCAAATGACTTTTAAATCTTATCTTTACAGTCAATACATGCGAAATAATCAAGCACTTAAAAGACCAGATAACACACTAGACAATAACTCAATTACGAGACATATTGGTCCTGATGTGGAACGAAGTAAATTTTTATTTACGACTTCTTTCCTTTTCTAGCAATCGGAACCGAATGACAACTACACAGTTTTGACAACCATCATAAAATATATTTAATTTATGATGAGAATGGGTTTGGTTATTTGTCTAGAACACTTATAATATTCAATACGGTTGTTCGAGTAACCGTAACTGATTATGCCATAAACTTTTTAAACTCCAAATGCCATATTTACTTTCACACTCTACAACAATTACTACTTTATTTAATTAAAATTATGACCTGTTCTTAAGATGAGTTCAGCATGTTCCTCCGTAAAGTTGGTATCTATATACTATTCCTCCACGTGGCATAACAACCCCACAACATCAGCATTGACATTTTCACCCCCACTGAGAACTTCAAACCCCTGAACTTAAAGTTCATTTGGCAGTCCCAAAATACAGGGATTTAAATCCCTTACTGCCACATGACAAACGTTAAGTAACTCACTTACCATGTAAAAGTCAATAGCCTGTTTCAAGCCAAGAATACTCTCATTTTCCTCTTCCCAAGTAGCTTGATCATAGGACAGATCTCGCCACTTAACCAGATACAGAGTTCGGCCATCACGCATTGTCCGATGATTGATAATTCGATGAACGATCATCCACTCTGGCTTAATACCATACCTTCAATAAAAAAAAATCAACCACCTCAGTTCATTAACAATGGTGAAGTGAAAAACATGAAGAAAATTTGCTAACTTACATCACTGATTTCTTGGGTTTGATATTTTACGTAAGTATGATTTTATTTTGAACTTTTTTAATTTCAGAACACTTTGTTCCGGATGACATTTGGAGACTTCGTTTCTTACGTTTTCAAAGGCAATATAAATTGCCAATCTCACATGACCCAACCAGTATTTTGTGCAAAACCATTACTCAAAACCTAACCTAACCTGTAATATTTGTCCTCTAAAGCAGAATCATCAGCATTGGCTTCCTTTATCCGCTTCATTCGGTTGTCCAATTCATCAATTGGTTCCTCCAATTTTGGAGGTTCATCCATGTCATACTTCCGCATATAATTTCGGATCATCAGAGGATGGAACACGTCCATCTGAAAACAAAATAAAAAATACAGCAAGCAGTCAAAATGCATATTTTGATTTCTGAAATATGATAAACTACTTTGACACAACCACAAAACCATTCCAATTTGAAGTCTGTTCTTCCCTTACAGTAAAATGCCTAAATTTAGAGGTAATACAAAATGTGAAACATTTCAACTTTCCTCCTAGGATTCCCAAAGAAATACATCACGAAGATCTACAAACCTGTAACTCAGAGACCCATTCACAGTGCCAGTAAGACTTCTCATGCCACTTTACAAAGAATTCCCTTTGTGGTTTCGGTGTACGAGGAGGACGTTTGCTCGTTGACGGTTCCTCAGACAGCTTATCTTCCTCCTCTCTGCCATCCGACTTCTTTGCCTCTGCCCAGCGCCAAGTTAGGATCTTTGCAACTTTTCCTGGCAGTGGCTTGGCCTAACCAAAAATAAAGTATGAACAAAATTAAATTTTCTGCACAAAGAGCATTTACTGAATTACATTTTAAGACATTGTGATACTTATGAAATACCTTACAGCCATCTTATTCTTGATTAATTAACAATCTTATAAAATATGTTGTTTTAGTCACAAGAGACCAATTCGTTAATAACTGGACAGGAGGCTGCATAGCGTCCAAAACACTTCCTGACTTGGTTCTAAAGACAAAATTCCTGCCACTGCCACCAGGAGCTGAACACATGCTATCCACCCTGAAGCCTGCCAAATAAACGTAGCTATAGCAACTCGAAGAAAACAGATGACTAACATCAAAACACCGAGACTTACTGAACATCTCGGGCATTTCCAGTCACCATCAGGAATGTCTGTAAGTGGTGGGTTGAGACAAAACGTGTGGTACGCAGACGGGCACGAATCACAACAAAGGAGTTCACCGCCATCCTTACAAACCCTGAGAAATATAAATTCAAGAATCAGAGTTTGCGCTTACGTTTGCAGATCATGATACCAAACAAACAAAATGAACAGCAATTCTTGGCAATCTAACCAACATTATGTTCACTTTCTGAACGCACCTGCAGAACTCCATATGTTCATCATCATCTTGTTCCTGCACTCCCTCTCCTTCGCAGTGAGGACACGACCATTTGCCTTCTGGGGTTTCTTCCAGCTCTGGGTCGAGACACACAAGATGGTATGCTCTTGGGCATGTATCACACAGAATAATTTCACCGCCTTGTTGACACACTTCACAATAATCTTGATGGTCTGTCTGTAAAGTGAACACTTCAACATTATCATCCACGTTCCAACTTCGTAACAGTAAAAACACATCATTTTACTAAATTAAAAATACACAGTATATATTACACTCAGAAAATTGTAAAAATAATTGCCAAATGATTGGGAATGTTGGTTTTTGGATTATTTAATGGCAGTGTATTAACAAAAATAAATTATACTACTGAACTACCTTTACTTTAAAACCAATCAAGTGCCACATCGGAGATGAAGTCCCTAACTTGGAAATGAGAATATGATATATTATGTTTGGTCAGGGCCGTGGAAGATCTCATGGGGCAGCGACAGATGAGTACGGAACAGAGGTAGAATACTGATTAGCAGAGACATGATCTAGGCACATCAAAAACACAGAACAGAAATACCATCTGCTACACTAAAACAAAAGGTGTGATTTATAATCTGAGGGCAAATTGCAAAATCTAAAATTACGTACCTCGTAGCCATCCTCACCGTCTCCACCCGGGAATTTAGACGTGGTTTTTGTCTTTTTCTTTTTCTTGCTCTTGTTGCCGATTTTTGTCTTAGCTTTGCGCCTGACTGGCGCCTGATTGGGAGCTTGGCTAGAAGGAGGCGTATCACCGCTTCCTCCACTTTCTTCCTCCACATTGGACTCTCCACCAACTTCGTCATCATCGGCTTCCGTAGAGATCTTATTTGCTTCCTCTGCTTCTGCCAACATCTGCTCAAACTCAGCATCTGAGTCCCTGTCACTTGCTCCTCCGCTTGCATCGCCCTCATCCTCCTGCGACAAGCAGGGTGAACCATTTACATCAGTAGCAGTACAATGCGGCACCTGCAACATACTGCCCTTTGGGGTCATGCAGGATGGGAAGATAAAAAAAAGAGAGAGATGGAAACCATAAGCGGTTAGTGAAGCTGCCTGCCCCTAGCAAATCACTAATTTTCAAAACACACACACACACAAACACATGACATTTTTTTTCCCTACGGTGAATCCTGCGTTAATCAAAATTCCATTCCTCAAGAAATTTCGTGATTTTTATGCAACCTGAAGTTTCATTACTGTGTTCAAAACAGCCTGCCACTGGACCTATCTGGATGCCCTTACACAAATTAAAATCTGTCACTTGCAATCAAGTAGCTAGTATGTTGTCAGCGCTGTTACACTTAAAACTTATCTTCTTATTCTTTTCCTTTCTACAATGTCTCCATTTCAAGCGGGCTGTTCGGTACTATAACATTTAAATACAGAAGGGAAGCAGCACATTCACTCTGATAAAAATGTAACTCCTTGAAGTGCAAAATTCATGTAAATATTATTTAACGTACAGTTCATACCTCAAAGTAAACCCTGTAACTACATTACAAAGATCACATGGTTAACGCTGTTCAGGGAAATAACTAGCTTACTCCGAGAATGCTTCGTTGGCAAAATTCTGAGTTAATGGATGATAAGCAGGTGGTACATGTAATTGCCACTGTCCCTTTAAAGGGATATAAAGGTAAAAACCCTCTGCAGCAGTTGCTACCCCTGCTATGGGCAGTTACACATCTTAAAATGAAAATTGTGTTTCTATTGATAATGAAGACAAGTCACTAAACTAACTGCGTAAAGTATAAATTCTTACTTTCTTGCAGAGAGTCATCAGCGTGGTAATTTTACAAACCCAAATCATGTCTTATATTTAGGGTTAAAATCAAGTTTCGTATCCACATGTCGACGCTCCAGAACAGAGATTAACACTTCAACTCTTTATGAGAATTTCATTATTAAATGTGTACAAATATCACTTTACATGGTTGGGAACAAAACAGACATAAGTCACATCATGCAAAGTGATCTGGATGAAGACTGTTGGCCCGTTAAAAGTATACAGCAGCTTGCAATAGACGTTAACTCGAGGAAGAGTTTATAAGAATCATTTCTTGCATACTGAAATATACCGCGAACATCAATTCACTTCACTATGCTCAGAATATCACTACTCATCCACATTGCCTGTAATAGATCCTATTCGTCAGAAGTGATGCGATAGTCAAAACCAAATAAAGTAACATGACATGTAGTATGTGAGATGAGATTGCTATTAGTAATCATCCATGCTGAAAATGAAAGACAGTAAACAGACCACCTAGACAACAGCTTCCTTCGCAAACAATATCTAGAGCACCCTGAAATTAATTCATTATGTCACACAGACGACCCATTACACGAACAAACTGGCTTGAAACTTTACATATTACGTCTTATTTTTATGCTCATTAAGATATTTTCTGAACAAACGCAACATCACCGTGCTCTACATAACGAAACGCAAAGAAAGCATAATTAGACACGTTAATTTAATATGAAACTTTACTACTACAGTGATTCAAAGCTGATCAGGAATTTTGATCACAGCATGTCACTACAGTCTTGCCTGCTTTGTATTTGTCTTTGTGACGTTCACTCCCTCTACATGCACAAACTTGACTCATCCTTGCAGGACAGAATATTTTACGGCTGATTTGCAGCCAATAAGAGCGGTGAGAAACAAGCGAGATTTTAACAAAATCTTCTCGGACGATCAGCCGCGTCAAATTGTTAAAAGTAAAATTTTGGATCAAATCTGAACAATCCTTCATATCAACCAGAACACATGATGTGTTACATCATAAAATGACTTTCAAACGCTCTGATTCAAAGGTGTGTACCCTTACCGAACTGCCACGCTTCCGTTTCCCAAGTTTAATCTTGAGAGTGGGGACTTTGCTTGTACTCTTTTTACTGCTACCACCAGCAGTACTACTTTTCTTCCCACTTCGACCCCGTTTCTTCTTGATCTTCTCTTCCCTCTCTTCATCATCGTCGTCGTCCAGACCCGCAAGGTCCGATTCCGCCTACCACACAAAAATACGTAAGTTAGTACAGAATGCCATGGTTCCATAAATAAATTCTCTTTTTAGAGAACGAGCAATTTCCAAGAACACATTACAGCTGATAAATCAGATTACGGGATTCCGAGTTATATTTGCTGTCACAGTCAGGTCTTGTACGTTCAGCACAACGTACTTTCGATCTGAAATAAAGCCTGAAACAGAAATACCTTTGAACTGTCCTTAGAAGGCCTTGACCGGCTCGTCTTGCGTGCATAGCTATCTTCTGCCATGGGTTCAGGTTCTTGTTCCGTGTTTGGGTTGATGTTCGTGAAGTCTCGCCATTTGGCTGCTACTAACATCATCAGTTTTGACATAGGAACCTATTTAACAAACACGTACATCATAAGGAAATATAAGAAAATACTTTCAAAAAGTCTAAAATAAACACCAAGTATTTTAGTTCAGTATTTTTTTTTTACCTTAGGGTTTTCTTTGCCTAATAGTGGTCTCACGTGCTGTTGGAACAGCTTGTACGTTGTAAGGTTCTGGAAGTCAGCCTCAGTATATTCTACATCAACATCAGTCAATCCAAACGTCATACATACTTCCTCCACAGTTGGCATACCTAGATATTAACAAACAGACATTAAAGAATTTCGTGTGGGAAGACAGAGATAGGCGGAGGGAATCGGCTGTCAGACGATTCACGTAAGAAGAGACATCTCGACAAAAGGAATTTATTTAAGATTTAACGTGCAAATGTGTGGCGACATCAACGCATCATGACTACGTAGCAGCGTTCTCTACATTTCTTCATGTCACTTCACTTTCCTACCTGAATTTGAATCCTGAACTGGTGCTGCTTGTGGCACGTGTTTCTGACTGGCTCGAGATTTCCGCGACTTACGGCTACTACTTCCGCTGACAAAATCAGAGTCATTTCCCCCACCATCCTCATCAAATCCATAATCACTTTCCTGGAAACACACACACACACTGATCTGAAGCCTTTACAGCATGTAAATACACTAAAATCCTGTCAGGCGATACATCGGGAGAATCATCACTGAGCCATAAACCATTACTACAAATATCCAATCACAGGCAACACCTCATGCCATTTCTTCTGTACTAAGACACTTTCGAAAGAATATGTAAAATAAATTTACTATATTCTTTTAACCTTCAAAGCCAAAAAAATTATATTAAAAAATTCAGTTCCTGGAGCAAAGAAAACAAAGCACATCAATGAAGATAAACTTGTCAGCAATGTCTAAGAAAATAATCACTGTTTACACTGATAATCGTACAAAACACGAACACACTGTGGTTAATATTACACTTACATCTCCACTGTCAGCCTTTTTCTTCTTCTTTTTCTTCTTTCCCTTTTTGTCCTCACTCCTAGCTTTCCTCTTTTTTCCTTTTTTCCGTTTATTTCGCCCATCTTCAGGTTCATAGTCATCGTCATCATCCTAGTAAAAATAATGAATCTCAGCATCATCATAACATTACATAAACTGTTTCAACATTAACATTTTCATAGAAGGAAATAGAAAATGTATACTTAAGCTAGGTCAAAGCATCAAATCTATCAAGAAATTATGCAGACTGCCTACCCAGCCAAATATTTGCATTAACTACATATGACTATGCATACAAATAGTAGACAAAAATATTATGTAGTTTAAACCAGTAAACTTTTTCAGTCACAAAAACATAACCTAAAATTTACCTTTGGTAGGCAGCCAAGCATGCATAACCTAACACTTCTAGACACGTAGTTGTCCTCAATTTTGGATGTAGATGTAAGACATTTTAATTGTATATAATATTTTTATGATGTGCAATCAAAACAACTTACCCCACCAGGTTGTCCCTCCTCTGATTCTGGAGAGTTTTCTTCGGTAGTGCCATCAGGACGAGACATTCTAGTTCCACTCTCATCCCCTAGGTCATCATCTCCACCTAAGAACCAGATACACACAATATTCTACTCAATCACCTGCACCAATTTTGAAATTAACAACGTACATTTGGTTCATAATGATTTTTCACGACCATGTGTTTTGCTAAGAATGAAAGTTAACCTATAAAACTGGTAATGTACACATCGTGAAATATGGATCTTATTAAATATGTGATATTATCCGACACAGAATAAAAGAAATTAGAACAAAAATTTACGTCTACATGTGAATTATCAACCAACAACAGCTAATTAGCAAAATCAAGTCAAGAAAATACGGTTTTCACCAGATCCAAGAAAGAACCTATTAATTACAGAAAAGACAAATGAATAATATGAAAGTGTAATTTTTTCGCGAAATTCTCGTGTCAATCTCTTTGTTTGATGGCCTCCATTTTGTTAAGGGGTCAGGATAAGCCCGCGCGGCTGTCAGAAAAATAATGACGTCCCCCCCTCCCCCACCAATCTAGATTTTTATCCATTCACGATGCATTTTTTGGCACGTTTATTTAGTATGTGTACCACACTATTCCTAACACCTCCCTTCGTATTTCTGGCATGCACAGGCCTCTCTTTATGACCAACATATCGGAGTTTTTAAGTAAACTTGAACACATGATTTCGTAGTCCCGCTCCGGCAACCAACGACGACGAAGCGATGTCCCAAAACACAAAAGCATGACAAATCTTACCTCCAAAAGATTCATCATCCATCTCATCTGACGCCATGAAGCAGCCCTAATGATGATTTCCTAATGTTAGAAGACTTCTGTAGTAACAGACGGGAAATATAAAAACTTAATAATGGTGAAATACCATAATCTTTAAACAACCTACTCCTCGCTTCAGGTACCTTGAAGACCAAAGTATCGACTGTTGTGCGCATGCGCAGGAACGCCATACATACACCATCATGACCGGGGTATTTGCAATGGCGGGATAATGAGAGCTTCAAAAAATGAAGAATATCTTAAGAAATTCGAATGAAAGGTCTTCCGAAAACTTCTATTACACAAATTTAAATGCATCTGTATTGATAATATGTTGCATCAGAATGTGTAATTATATGTAATTAATTTCAAATTAAATATTTTATTTAAATTAAACTCACACTTCCTGTTCTCATGCAACCCAATTTACACCACCGCCGCGTAGCACTATTTTTCCTGGGCTAGGTCAAATATTGATTGATTCCAAAGGGAAACGTGATGCTCGACATGCGTTATGGCTGTTAAGTACGAGTAACTTGGCTAATTACTTATGTTATAAATGCCAGTAGGTAACACGTACGAACTGAACTTGGTCTTAACTGAGAAGCTTAAAACGTAGTATTAACCCTTGGAAGCCGAAGCTCATAAAAAATTATATTTAAAAATTCAGCCCGTACCTCAAAGAAAACACGACACGTCCATAACACCGATGAATTGGTTAATGATATTTAATGAAACAATTTCCATCTATTCTGAGACTCATATGAAACTTTAAAAATGCACCCTGTAGGCAAAGTGCAGAGTTATTGCACGTAAAAGTATGTGGTACATATAGTTACCACTGAGCTTTAATGGGTTAGTATTTCTTAATATATATATATGTAATATTAAGCAAGGCATAGAGGTTTTTCCCAGGCTAATGATTGTCCACTTCTCATATATTTTAACATGATTTTCTGTTTTGCTGTGCTACAAAATGCCTAGAAATCTGTGGTTCCAATTCACCTTTAACAATGATGCATACTGAGCACAAATTCGTGAGATTTTCGAGATAATCACTCACCTCTCAAGGCACTGGGATTCCTTTTCCAGTTTGGGCTTTCCATCACTTTCTTGGACAACCCATATCTCGTCGTCCTCCAAGTGTACAATGAAAGGCTTTATTTGGAATTCTAGTGCATCATGCCGTCCTTGTGGAAGTTACGACCACCAGGTTCCACATCCCTTTATTTCAATTTACATTAAATGAATTTCTAATTATCCTAGTTCTTCTAACCTCTTTTCATTCTTGTGCATCCTTTCTTAAGAACCCGCTAGCGAAACGCTAAACTAGAGAGCGGAGGGAGCCGGAGAAATTAGTTTCGTCCTTACCCAATAGATGGAGAAGTTGTCAATTGCTGGAAGTAAGAACTTACGCAAACAACGTGTTGTTGTTGTTGTTGTTTCCTAATTAGCTTCTTTTGTTACTTTTACGCCATTCCAGTATGTTGTTCGATTAGCAATTTTTTTAAACACACAGGCGTATAAAAAAGCTCAGTTCTTACGACAAATAAAATACAAAGGGAAAGACAAAAATTAGTCGGTGAACGTTATCAAAACAGATTACTTGCTAGACTTTATTCTATTATATATGGTGTGATAATATTAAAATGTCACTTGAAGAAATGATCAATGCGGTGGATTCAAGTGGACAAAAATATGATCAAGATATTTTGTGACAGTGGTAACAAACGAAGAGTTGGGTAATCTATATTTCTACGCAAAGCGTATAATAAAGCCGAGATTTAGATGGCAGCTAATCAATAAATTCCCCACCTCTTACAAAACCTGATGGTCCATTACCGTGTTCATCAGAAGATTGTAATTCGTTTGTTTTGTTAATAAGAAGATAAAGTAGGTAAGAGTCAATCAGCAAATCTTAAACTTTTATATTTACAACAAACCAACATCTGTCCATTACGCAGAATAAAAATAAACTGGGCATTTCAGAAAGAAAGGACACAAAGTCAGAGAGATACGAGCCTTTAAGTGCACTTGTCCCCAGGAAAGAGACACTAATGCTTGCACTACATCACATCGTGACAGAAACCGGTTTAATATTTAAACCTATTTACTTGTCCAAAAGCCATGGTCGCTTTGTGCAACAATAACCCAGTTCTACAAAATGGCGCGAGTGGAGGAAAGCGGCCGTGGCCTATTTAAAGATGTGACCGGGCTTTCTAGAGGAGGAACTGAGAAAAGCAATAAAATCCCTCATAAATCCGAGATTTGAATCCGGAATCTTCGGAATACGAAGCAGGAGTGCCATCCTCGCCCGGGACATACGGTTTGTACTTTAAGATAAATCAGATATTCAAATTATCAAAGAATGTAATTGGCCACCACCTCCTTCGAGCCAAAATGCAATATATACAACTTACACTTGTTGAGACTGAAATGCCTTCAGTTTAAGGGCTTCAGTTTATAAAAACCGCCCTTTTGAATGGGTAGGCCAACAGCGTAATAAGAGACCCATCGATCTGAAACCTCGAAAGCCCGAAGCGCATCTAAATATTACTTAATAATTCAGTCCGTACCGCGAAGAAAACACAACTCTTCACCATTACAAAGATCAACTGGTTAACGCTGTTTAAGGAAATAATCGCTGTTTACACTGAGAATCATAATTCGTCTGAATAATATTTAATAATTCAGTCCGTACCGCGAAGAAAACACAACTCTTCACCATTACAAAGATCAACTGGTTAACGCTGTTTAAGGAAATAATCGCTGTTTACACTGAGAATCATAATTCGTCTGAATAATATTTAATAATTCAGTCCGTACCGCGAAGAAAACACAACTCTTCACCATTACAAAGATCAACTGGTTAACGCTGTTTAAGGAAATAATCGCGGTTTATTCCGAGAATCATATAAAATCTATAATAAACCCTACGCGGGTAAAATGCAGAGTTACTTACTGTTAAAACATGTGGTTCATATGGTTACCGTTGCACTTTCAAGCTTAATACTAAGCAGTCTTCTGTCCTATACGTAGACACGTCCGTTTTGCGTTCCCACAAGGAGTAAATTGCAAATATTAACATGGGCCTACCTCAAGAATCACACAAGAATAAGATTGTGGGACAGCCTGTAAGATCTAAGATATAAAATGATTAAAAACAGTTACATAAGAGAATTCATGTAGGATCTGAGGTTGTCACGGCGGCCTAATGATGGAGGCGGTAAGCACCTCTGAAACGTCGGTCAATTCCTACCAGACTACACGGCGCAACATCGCAGAAGACAGCCATCTTGAAATCTCACTGCCTTTCAACGTGTTTATCAATTTAAAATAAAATATTAATTCAATTAGGCCTACTGCTAAAACGTTTTCTTTCAAAATTCCGTGCAAGTCGTTTGGTAAGCCCTTTCAATGGCATTAGAGGCCTATGCACCATAATTAGATTAGCTCCCCTCCCCCACATGAACATTCACAACCCAATGGGGGACCGCGGCCCCCAACGTGGAGAATAATGATCTAGAACAGTGGTATTCAACCTTTTTTGTTCGCGTACCCCCCAGATATAATTTCTCTTCAACTTTGTACCCCCAAAGTTGTTGGTATATAATTCAAGTTATACATAGTATATAATGAAATAAATTACATTACTGATTATTCAGTGTTTATCATAAATTAATTTTTTTTTAAATTTCACGTACCCCTTAAGATGTCTTCGTGTACCCCCAGGGGCACGCGTACCCCAGGTTGAATACCACTGATCTAGAACATTCACGGACGACCCATTTACTTTATATACGCGGTCCATTTCGAAGCTCAGAAGGCAAACGCAGATAAACAATTGGGGGGTGAAGCTAAATCATTTGTGGGGTGTCCGCGTATAAAAGAGTTTTATTGAAGAGAATTTGCGAAGAAAAGAATTAGGGTAGGTTTTGGCCAGTTAGGTGA